GAGAATCTAACTCTGTGCCACAGAAAGGGACCCTGAAGATAGAATTAATCAATCCTAGCCAAAATCCAGCCCCTATAATACATGGTAGGAACTAACCAGACTGTCAGTCCATTGCCTGACAAAACTCAGTGTGACTTGGGGCAGCCCAAGTTAACATTAGAAAACTTACAAGGAGCTGGAACTTGTCTAATAGGCAAACTTTTAACCAAGGCGCCTCCTCTTACTCTGTCTTATGTATACTGCATACAGATAACAGCAATATTACTGAGCCCGAATCTAACTCTGTGCCACAGAAAGGGACCCTGAAGATAGAATTAATCAATCCTAGCCAAAATCCAGCCCCTATAATACATGGTAGGAACTAACCAGACTGTCAGTCCATTGCCTGACAAAACTCAGTGTGACTTGGGGCAGCCCAAGTTAACATTAGAAAACTTACAAGGGGCTGGAACTTGTCTAATAGGCAAACTTTTAGCCAAGGCGCCTCCTCTTACTCTGTCTTATGTATACTGCATACGGATAGCAGCAATATTACTGAGCCTCTGAGACCACTTGGTCTCTGACTCATTTGACTACATGTGCCTCTTCTCATGCTTTCCAAACCAAGTAGACAGCTTGATCAGAACCTAGGGGCCTTAAAACAAGTTAGATTTCCTTCCAGAAATGATCCGATAAAATTAAAAAGACTTAAACTTACTTCTTAGGAGATAAAGAAAACTATGTATGGCTTTGCAAAAACAAAAACAACAGCAAAAAACACCACACTGTTTCTATGCTAATCAATCAAGAGTAATTTAAAAAATCTTGCCCTAATTTAAAACAACAACAACAACAACAACAGCAGCGGTGGCCCACACCTTTAAACCCACTGATGGGGAGGCAGAGGCAAGTTGATCTCCGAGAGCCTGAGGTCAGCCTGAACTACCAAACAAGTTCTAGGACAGCCAGGGCCACACACAGAGAAACCCCATCTTGAAAAACCGAAAACCAAAAACCAACCAAACAAAAACTCAAAAACAAAAAGAGACAAAGGCATAAATTAGATAATTGATGCCAGTTTCTATCCTCTTAGTCCCCCTAGCTAACTACTCTGCTATCAGCACTGACAGAGCCTGGGCAGGCTCCTGCATCTTTTTTTTTTTTGGTTTTTGGAGACAGGGTTTCTCTGTGTAGCTTTGGAGCCTATCCTGGCACTCGCTCTGGAGACCAGGCTGGCCTCAAACTCACAGAGATCTGCCTGCCTCTATCTCCCGAGTGCTAGGATTAAAGGCCACCAACGCCCAGCCAGGCCCCCTGCATCTTAAACTACATGGCCAATTATGTATCTGAATGGTTCTTAGGACCAACTGTACCTCTTTAGAGAAGGGTGAGTCCAAGATTTAACTCATTCGTTAAGACCAGTGGGGAGTGTAACAGAGCCCCAGTCCTTAACACAAATAATTCCATGGTGGAAGTACCATTCAGACTGTAAATCTCAACATGTAGACAGCACCATCTACCAAAACGAAAACAACGACCTAATCCATCAAAGACCACAGCTCTGGGAACGTTTCTAAATGTACTAACCTTGCTTTTTTGCTTCTGTGATTCCGATTCTGGCTATCTGTTCTTGTTAACTGAAGTGTGTCAGCCCAGAACATGGGTTTTGTGCTTAAAAGTTCACCCAGAGAAAGACTCCACTATACTGGGATCTGGAACACCCTAGTCACTGGCTGGCTAGTAAAGACTTCCTATTGGCTTAAACCCATGTCTGAGGAGTCCTCTCTGGTGAATGCCACACAACAAAAGTCTCTGATAATTCCACAGGCTTTTGCTGGAATGTAAAACTTCCTCTATCACCAAACTCTGTAAAATGCAAGTGATAGGACGGTGGTGGTACATGCCTTTAATCCCAGCACTCCGAAGGCAGAGGTAGGTGGATCTACAGAGCAAGTTCCAGGACAGCCAGAGCTATACAGAGAGACCCTGTCTTAGAGGAAAAACAAAAAGAAAGAAAGAAAAAAGACCCAGTGAGAAAGAAAAGGAAAAAATCCAAGCAATGAAGAGGTTGGCTTGAGATTTATAACAGGAAAAACTTCAGAGTTTGATGATATATATGGACAGGTAATTTTCATTTACAACACTGAACCATGTATGTCATTTGGATTGAACTCTCACTTATAGAAATGAAATAAGAGAGTGTAAGTAGATGAGAGAGGCATTGGAAAGGATATAATTTTTGTTTTGTTTTGTTTTTTTTCGAGACAGGGGTTCTCTGTGGCTTTGGAGGCTGTCCTGGAACTAGCTCTTGTAGACCAGGCTGGTCTCGAACTCACAGAGATCCGCCTGCCTCTGCCTCCCGAGTGCTGGGATTAAAGGCGTGCACCACCAACGCCTGGCAGAATATAATTTTTGAAAAGAAATTTTAATTAGAAAAAATAATATTTCAGATAAGGATGGGTTTATATAATAAGATGAGATTTTTGTCCTGAAAATGAACACTAAAAGATGAAGACAAAATAAAAATTCAAAGCCTTAACACTAAGTTGCAGAAGAACTGAGTGTGTACAAGATCTGTGGATAGGATTTAAAAATGATGAATGTTTGATGATTAAAGGTTAAAATCTCCAGGTAACATTTACAGTAATTGCAGAGATGGCTCAGCAGTTGGAAGCAAGGGCTGCTCTTCCAGCAGACCCAGGTTCAAATCCCAGCACCCACAAGGCAGCTCACAACTGTCTGTAACTCCAAGATCTGACACCCTCACACAGACATACATGCAGGTAAAACACAAATGCACATAAAAATAAATTTTTAAAAAAATTTAAAAAAGAATGTGAATCATAACAAAATCAAGACTTACTTAAAATTGTTTTGTTTTCTAATCTTTGTCTAAATGTTACACAGAACTTAAAATTACAAAGCTTAAAAAAATAGGTGGGTATGGTGGTGATGCAAATCTTTAATTAATCCCAGTACTTGGAGGTAGAGGCAGCCAGATCTCTGAGTTCCAGGCCAGCTTGGTCTACAGAGTGAGTTCCAGGACAGCATAGGCTATATAGAGAAACTGTCTCAAAAAACAAAATAAAATAAAATAAATCACAAAGCTATTAAAGCAGTCTTTTGGGGTGGTCACCAAAATTTGGAGGCTTACACCAATGAGAACAGGCGGGTCAAAAAGGACTCAGGTGTGCTGTGGTTTGAATGTAATTGTCCCCCACCCAATAAGACCATAGGAAGTGGCACTATTAAGAGGTATGACCTTGTTAGAGTGGGTGTGACCTTGGAGGAAGTGTGTCACTGTAGAGGTGGGCATTGAGGTCTCACATATGCTCAAGCCATGCCCAGGCAGACAAACTACTTCCTGTTGCCTGTGGGTCAAGATATGAACTCTCGGTCTGGAGAGATGGCTCAGAGGTTAAAAGCACTGACTGTTCTTCCAGAGGTCCTGAGTTCAATTCCCAGCAACCACATGGTGGCTCACAACCATCTGTCAAGATCTGGTGCCCTCTTCTGTCCTGCCGGCATACTTGCAGGCAAAACACTGTATACATAATAAATAAATCTTTAAAACATTAAAAAAAAATAAAAAGATATGAGCTCTCAGCTAGTTCCTCGTCACCATGTCTGCCTGCATGCTGCCTTGCTTCCTGCCATGACAAAAATGGATGGAATCTCTGAACTGTAAGCCACCCCAATGAAATGTTTTCCTTTATAGGAGTTGCCATGGTCATGGTGTCTCTTCACAACGATATAAACCCTAAGACACCAGAGAACACTGAGACCCCTTCTAAGGGGTTCTCTCTCTCTCTCTCTCTCTCTCTCTCCCTCTCCCTCTCTTCCTCCCTCCCCCCTTCTTTTTTTGATACAGGGTCTCACCATGTAACCTTGGTCAGCCTGGAGCTTGCTACTTAGACCAGGCTGACCTCAAACTCATAAGGATCTGCCATCCAAGTGCATGGCCACCATGTCCAGATCACTTGTCTTCTTGACCAGAGAGGCCACAGATTCTCCAGAGATTAGTCTGTAGCCAGTGCACATCCTACAGGAAGGAAAGCCAATGGAGAGGGACATGTTCCCTATGCTTTCAAAGGAAGTCAGGTGGTCAGCAGGATCCTGATACATCCAAGCAGATGGCACAATCAGCAGAGAAAAACTAAAGGAGTCAGGAGGCTCCTCTTAATACATTCATTTATCTGGGTATGCCATTAATCCCAGCACTCAGGAGGCAGGGGCAGGCAGAGCTCTGTAAATTCAAGGCCAGCCTGGTCTACAAAGTGAGTTCTAGGATAGCCAATGGCTGTTACATAGAGAAACCTTGTCTCAAACAAACAAACAAACAAAAAAGCCACACAAGCACATGCACACACATTTACTCATTCAGAGCTAAAAGTATGACTGCTGTCATAGTCACAGATCATTCTCTAAACCATATAGAAGAGAGTGACCAGTCAAATACACATGCTTTGGGAAGGTAAGGCTCTAAGCAATATAACGCCCCTTCTCCCCTTACTTCCTAAATCCCTGCCTCATGTACCCAGCTGTAAGTACATTGTGTTCCTCAGGTCCATCTGTAGGCCTGTCTCTCTCCCACCCCCAATACATTATAGGAGCCCAGGAGTCTGTCCCTGTAAGAATCCCACAGGCCTATATGCTATTTTCTTGGTTTCCATCCTAGGCAGATAACAAGCAGGAACAGAGGCATTGGGTACCCATAGCCAGGCATATGCAAACTGCTCCTCTCCCAACCCTTTTATCCCATAGAATGGGGTCTTCAGAATGTGACCATCTTTGGGCTCCTCTAGCCCTTACTATTCCTAAACCCTGGTGCAGAAGAGTGAGTAGCAGGGGTTGGTTACCCACTGCCAAGGGTGAGGGTTTGATTCTCTTACAGTCCAAGTCCTTTACAGAGGTAACAGCTCTCTCTCTGGAGGTGCAAGAAAAGGTCCCAGACCCTCAGTGTCCATCCACCAAGGCTTCCCAGGGTCTTCACATTATTAGTGAGTGAAGCCAGAAGCCACTCAAGGTTTGAAAAAGACTTTAATTGGCTTTTATCTCCAGAAACCTCTCTATCCATGCCTGGGCTCTAGGATCACTGGACTGGTCCCTCCAGTGTGAGGGTTCAGACCAGAGACTGTGCAAGCAGAGGCTAGGTCTCCCACATGAGGTGGAGATTCTCCCTGGCAAGGGAGCCCAGGGGCTGGTGCCTCCCTCCTGCCAAAAGCATGCAGAGGGTCACAATGCTGTTCTTTCCAATAGGGAACACCAGGACTTGCTTCTCCCACCGGTGGGCTGTGGGCTGCAGGCAGGTGGGCATCAGTCTAGGAGTCACTGCAGCGGAGGTGAGGAATGGGGCCCTGGCATCGGTGCCGACAGCGAGGAATGGTCAAACAGTGGGTTGCGCACCTCCATCTCCCCTGTCTGTGAAGGCACTGGGTCACACTACTGGCAGCAAGGCCTGGTACAGAAAGGTTGGGAGAAACCCTAGCAGACAGCCCCCTCTACACCCTAGGGCACTCACCGGTGCCAGGCCTGGGCACTCATATACCGTGAAGTCACCATCTTCATTCTCCTCATCAGAGGAGGGTGACTCCAGTTCCTTTGGAGGTTCCTTATGCCTGGGGGGGGGGGAGACAGCTGGGTCCTCTGAGAACTCTCCAAGGGAAAGTGCTCAATATACTGTTGTTGCCCTGGGTGGGGGCTTTGGGCTGGGCTGGGGGTAGGGCAGTAAGTAAAAGGTTGCAGGTAAGGTGTGGGTGGGGTGGAGGCCCAGGGCAAAAGTGGCTGCCACTTCAGGTCTGGGACGCTCACCGCTCCAGGCACAGCATCTGCTGTCTCTGGTGCTGGTAGTGATACATCTCAGCGCTGTGCGCCAGCCGCTGATCCCCAGGCTGTGGGAGGGGACGGAAATGTTAAGCAAAAGCTGGGACGCACAAAATAAGAGCGCGCCTGGTGGGAAGGTCGTTACGCACCGAGATTCGCGGTGTTGTGGATGAAGTGGGCGCCTTGGCTGTGGCAGCATAGTCGGCCTTCTGAGTCAGGCGGATCTCCCTCTGTAGTCTGAAGGGGTTTGGTGTTGAGAGGGTTGTTACGGACCTGAAGGTCAGACCCCACCCACCCGCTGGAATCAGCGGCTCACCTACACCAGCAGAGGGCTGCCACAGCCAGGGCGGCTGTGCTTGCCAAGCAGAAAGCCAGGATCAGCACTGTGGGAGAAAGGGGCATTGTGAGGAACCGCCTGAGGAGGGCCCTTATTCTGCCTCCCCCATCCCCTTTGTGCCTCCCTCCTCCTTCAACCCGCCACATGCCTGTCCCTTAGTGCCAACCTGGACCTACCAAGGGTGAGGCCATTTCCATGCCCACCCCGGGGCTCCAGTGTGGAGGTTCCGTGAGTGGAGGGGAGGCTGGGCTCCAGTCCTTGACCCCACTGTGAGAATCCCAAGGTAGCTGCTGAGAGTCAAGCACACAAAGTCAGCGGGACTTGGACTTTAGTCAAAGAAGCAGAGTCAGGAAAGAGAGTAAGGGGTGGCAGCGGGGGTGGGGTGGGGGTGTCCTCACCAGGCTCCAGGAGCTTCTGTGCAGCCTCAGGCAAGGGCGGTGCTGTAAGCCTTGCGTGCCCAGCCTCCTTCTCCTTCAGTGCCAGTTCCTGGGCCAGAGAATCGATCTCCTCTTCCAGTCTGGGCTGGGGCAAGTCCTCCCCTGAGGAGTGTGAGGGGCCATCATTTAGAGAGAGGCCCCAGACCCTCAGGCAACACCTGCAGCAAGCAGCCTCCTGAGATGGAAGGACCCATCCAAAGTTTCACCATCCTGGGTTACCATGGTGACAACTGAGGGAGCTACTTTAAGTTCTGGGGGATGGGGGCTCGGGGGTGGAGAGCAAGGCTAGAGGAATGTGCAGAGATCCATCCACAAGAGGAGAAAGGAATGGAATCCCTTATTCTAGCTAGTGTGTGCAAAGAGTTAGGCAGAGCACTGGCTAAGACAACACATTCCCTACCTTGTCCACCCTCAGGTACCTTCTCTGCCCAAGAGGAGAAAGGAAATCCTAAAGGAATGGAACAAAGCCAAAATATAACCAAATATCTAGGCTACTCCCAGCCATCAGAAAAGAAGGAGCCTGTGGGGGTGGGCAGGTGGCCGGGCTCTGATTGGGTCTCACTTTGCACCTCACAATCCAAAAAGAAGCTCCCTCGTGGGACCCCAATCCACAGCATCCTCTGGCCTTTTCTCGGTGCTCCTCTTTACTTTTCCCAGAAAGCCTGGCTGGCCACATCCCCAGCACCTCTCAGGTAAAGCCCTCATCACCTGAAGGGACACCCAGATAGACGGAAGGACAGCCGTCACTAGCACAGGGGTAACACTTCCCAACATGCTGTGTGGAGTGTACTGGATAAGTAACCAAAGGAGAGGAGCAGGTTGTCTAGAGAGTGCTAATGTAGACACCCAGGACAGTCTTTGGCCGACCTATCACATTCCAAGCCCTAATGTTCTGACCTCTCCTCCTCCTGAGGTCATCCTTTGCCTTAGCAGGACTCAACTGCCATAGGTGTCAGCCGAGTTCCAACACTGGACCAGCACCATCTTTAAAGGGTAAAAGGCTTGTCACTTCTAGAGTGGTAAGAGTTCCAGTTCTGGTCTTGGACCTGAGCACTCGGTGTCACTTCTAAAGTGGTAAGAGTTCCAGTTCTGGTCTTGGACTTGAACACTCGGCCCACAGGGCAAGGCAGGAAGGGAGGGACAATATCTCACTCATCCATTCTGCCTGAATTTATACTCGGACATACCAGAAGACTGGTGCATCCTGGGCACACAAAACCCTTGCTGGTTCTCTTGGAAGGACTGAAGGCATGGTCCACACGTGTGTGCGCCTGGTGGGCATCTGGCCCGCCTCTTCAGGGCACAATCCAGGCTTCCAGGACAGGTGGCAGCATCTGAGGAAGAAGCAGAGGCATGGCCCATCACAGCCCTCTTGGCTGAGTCTCAGTGGAACAACAGCCCTGCTTAGAAACCCCTCCCTCCACAGAACTGGCCAGGCCTGCCTCCGGCCATTGTTCTGGGCAGGCTCGGCCTTCCTACTGCCAAGCCTCAGGATCAGGAAGCAGACAGTCCCAAGTCTTATGGAAACTACCCTGCCCCATCCACTCCTCACAGTCCTGCTTCCAGGCCTAAGTCTTACCCTTAAAGGAGAACAGACCCTAACTGTCCAGTCAGCCTCCACAAAAGACAGTGAAGTCCTCCAAGGCTGGCTTTTGACCTTTGTGTGGCTCAGAGTGAGCCAGGACCCTTCGTCCAGATGGCTGCTGAGGACAGAACTCTGTTCTCTTTGGCTCAGGGGCAGCAAAGGATGTTGGGCAGCCATTTCTCCTAAACACTGGGGTTTCTCCCTAGACCCCCTCACATAATCTTACAACCCCAGAGCATAGTCTGGGGGAGCCACAGAACAAATGCTCAGTACAGAAGACAGTGGCTCTCCCTGCCTAGCCTTCGTCTTCAAGGAGAGAGAAGCCACTGGGGTTTGGGAGCCCTAAGATGGAGCTGGAGATACAATGAGGCCATTGAAAGGCCTGGGCTGGTCAGAGCTGGGGATGCCAGTCGAGGTCAGGGTTCCCAGTCACACTTTTTTTGTCTTCCTCATTTGGAGCCCAGAGCATAATGTTCTCTTTATATATGGCAATCAGTACCGTGCTGATGCAGGTAGATAGAGCAGTGACCCTCACGCCTCAATTTCTCCTGTGGGGCATGTAAGTCCAGTTGCTTCAAAGCTAAGGAGTATTTACAACCTAGGACCCTGGTTTCTCAGGAAACTGACATAGCCAAGGGAAGACCCAGCAGGACCATCAACCTTGCCTGCTGAGTGTCTCTGGCCAATTGGATCCTTCCTCTCCTTAGCCCAGCCACCACTGCTGTACACTGCAGGGCCCACTGGGATGTGGAAAATATCCTGCAGCCTTTGGCTTAGTTTCCTTTGTAATGTGACACTCTGCATCTCCTGCAAAGAAGTTCCAGCAGGCCTGGTGGCAGGGGGCACACTGAATCCCTGGCCCGGCACCTTATTCCTCCATAGGCTGGGTCAGCAGACTCCTGTGACAGTGATCTGGGCTTGGGGTTTAGGATAGTTAAACATTAAACCTGTATCAGGAGGCTTACACAGACTCCACCCACCAGCTAGGCTCCAGGGAGCCAGACAGTCCCTGCCCCTAGTGCTGATAACCTAGTCAGATCTATACTAGAGGTGTGTAGCACAAGGCTACTTTTGGGCTGCACGCAGGACCTCCACCATAGCCCACCAGCCTATTGTTTAATATTGGATAGACAGACCCTCTCCAGCTGGGTGTTGGTGGCCCATGCCTTTAATCCCAGCACTCAGGAGGCAGAGGCAGGTGGATCTCTGTGGGTTTGAGGCCAGCCTGGTCTCCAGAGCGAGTTCCAGGAAAGGCTCCAAAGCAATACAGAGAAACCCCATCTCGAAAAACAAAACAAAATAAAACAAAAAAGACCCTCTCCAGCCTGGGTATGAGGAGGAGGTTCCCAGGAACAATGACAGCTGGAAAGTAACTGGTATTCCACCCATGTTGGGCTACTGGTCCCTGCTGACCACTAGGTGTGGGAGAGGGATGCTTAGAGGTGGTCATGCTAGGTCTCTGCATTCAGCTACAGTGGCCAATGAGCAGAGGCCAGCACCTTCTCAAGAAGGGGTTCAGCACTACCCCCATAGTCCCATTCCTGAGGAGGCTCTACCTGGGAGGCAGACTCTTTAGCAGGTTGCCTGTACTACCTCTGGCAAGGCCTGGTTTGGCCCTCCACCCTCCCCAAGAGTCTCTTCCAGTCATGCCAACCTTCACTCCAGGATTGCCTGCCCAGGAAGAGACCTGCCCAGCTTTTAAGGCCCCACACTCAGAACAAGCGCATTAGAGTCCCAGTTGTGCCACATATCAGTCACTTCTCCATGCCTCCGTTTCCTCATCTATAAATTGGGCTCAAAGCACCTCCCCTTCAGAGCTCCAGAATTCAGTGAACATATGGGCACCCTCTCCTACTTCACGCCCTTCAGGGAGATAAGATTTGGATCCTGTAGCTTCAGGACCCATCTGGCAAGGATGTGTTTCCCAGACTGGGCTCACACTCTTTCAAAGGGTCAACACACAGGACCTCAGTCCAGAAGACAGGGTGGCATGTGCCCACCAGGGCAGGGGATGGGGGCAGCTTGGCTCCACTAAGTTGGAACAGACGCTAGTGGACCTGGAACTCTTAGACTCTGCCATGGGAACACGGGAGACAAGGCTGACAGCAGCAAGGCCCACAGACACCAGAACAACCCTACCAACTGGAAACCCCAGCGACACAGAAACAAAGACACAGGATCCTCTCTGAGGGCCACTGGAAACCAGATGGCTGCAGACGCCCAAAAAGACATCCGGAGACATACGCTGAACTGGCTCAGGGACCCAGAGACAAAGACCAGAAGCTCGTGAAATCTACATTCGCCTCCAGGGACCTGAGAGAAGACTCATCCAGCCTGGCCTTCAACGAGCCTGACCTGTTTACCCAATCCATGCCCAGCGGAACGGGCCTGCCTAGCCTGCGGGCCCGGGTGAGGCCAGGGCGGTGGCAGGGAGGACGAGGGTGGTGCCGAGTGGTAGGATTCCCCGCCCGGCGATCCCGGCCCCGGAGCGCCCCGCAGCCTGAGCCCAGAGTGATAGCTCACCCGGGCGGCGGGCGGTGGCACCGTTCAGAGCCGCTCCGAGGATGAGGCCGGAGAGCAGCAGCCGCAGCAGCAGCAGGTGCCGTGGGGAAGGAGGAGGGATCGGCGTCGCCATGCTTCAACGCCGCCACTCGGGCAGCATGGCACCCCGCGGCCCCGGGCTCGGTACCGGCTCCGGGAACCGTGACTGGAGAAGCCGGGAAGCGGGAGGGGGCGGAAGAGGAAAAGAGGAGGCGGCGCTGACGCTGCGGCAAAGGATCCGGGATGGGATGGAGGCTCGGCGGCCAGAGAAGCGTGTAGGGAGTGCGCCTGCGCGCTCCACCTGCGGGGGCGGGACATCGTCTCCAGACTGAGCCCCCTCCTTCTGTGTCCTTGTTGGGGGTCCCCTTTCTACAGGCGACTAAGTGCCTCTGGCCCTCCAGCCTCTGTAGCAGGATTCCTCCTCATTACCCAGAAATCTGGTTTAGGATTGACGAGGAGTGGGCGTCCCAGGATGCGTGCCTTCTTAGTGGTCCGACTGCCAAACCCAAGCCGCCCACCCTATTAGAGCGGAGGACCTTGGACTAGGGAAACACCAGGAGCAAGCATTGGCTGTCCTGGAACTTGCTAAGTAGACCAGGCTGACTGTTGCAGGTTTGCAAAATGTATCAAACAAAGGATAAACAGGTGCACAGAGACGCACAGGTGTACTGAGAGACGCCTCCGGGCTTTGTAAACCACAAAGAAAAGCAAACACAGCAGGCTCACTAGATCTGACGCTAGTCGGGCTCATTTCCCAGTGAGTCCACCAGGGGGCAAAAGTAAATTGACGTTGCTGCTGACAGGCGTCTGGGAGCTGTCCAAGGTGGTCACTGTCCCAAGGAAATGGCTTTTAGTTCCCTAGAGTCACACAACATGGAGCATCCACGGGTCCTTGTGTTTACTCTTCATTTACAGTCCCATCTAGAGACCGCCCCGTGACTCAGTCAAGAAAGCAAAGTTGAAGCTAGGTGTGGTGGTAACTCCTTTAATCCCACCACCGGAGAGGCAGAAGTAGGCGGATATATGTGAGTTCAAGACCAGTCTGGTCTACATACCAAGTTCCAGGACAGCCAGGGCTACATAGTGAGACCTTGTCTTAAAAATGCAAAACAGGGGAGCTGGAGAAGTGGCTCAGCGATTAAGAGTACTGGCTGTTCTTCTAGAGGACTTGGGTTCAATTCCCAACACCCACATGCCAGCTCACAGCTGTCTGTAACTCCGCTTCCAGGGGATCTGATTGCCCCATACGGACACACTTGCAGGCAAAACACCAATGTATATAAAATAAATAAATAAATAAAAACAAAAGAATAAAAACAAAATCATAAAAAATGTAAAACAGGAAAAAATCTGTGGGGCAGTGGTGGCACCTGCCTTTATTCCCAGCACTAGGGAGATAAAGGCAGGCAAATCTCTGTGAGTTCAAGGTCAGCCTGGTCTACAGAGGGAGCTCCAGGACAGCCAAAGCTACACAGAGAAACCTGTGTCAAAAAACGAAATAAAAAGCAGCAAAGACGTAAAACAGAAAGAAAAGATCAAAGTTGAGTTCCCCAGCACTGCACTTCTTTCAGTCCTGTGGGCTCGCAGTGTCAAAGTGGAGACTTGCTCTTGCAGGTCTACAAAACGTTTTTTGTTGTTGTTGTTTTTTTTTTTTTTTTTTTTTTTTTTTTTTGGTTTTTCAAGACAGGGTTTCTCTGTGGCTTTGGAGGCTGCCCTGGAACTAGCTCTTGTAGACCAGGCTGGTCTCGAACTCACAGAGATCCACCTGCCTCTGCCTCCCGAGTTCTGGAATTAAAGGCGTGCGCCACCAACACCCGGCTACAAAACACGTGTGTGTGTGTACGTGTGTGTGTGTGTGTGTGTGTGTGTGTGTGTGTATGCGCACGCGCGTGCGCCCGCGCGCGCGCACCCCTAACCCAGCCCTCAAAACACTGACTGAGCCAAAATTGTGTCTGAACTCATTTCCCATAGAAGAGGCAGGGAGAAGTAGCATACCCAGGCCATTCTTTTCTACCTAGAGAACACAGAAACATAGGCTGTGGGATGCAGGGATGTTGACACTTCGGGAGCCTCTGCAATTGGGGGAAAACACCAAAACCAAAAACCTTGGGGTGCATCCTCAATTCCTACCTATGTCATCAAGAGGACCTAAGGTTTGTTAGGGTTCTGTCAATCAGAGAAGACGTAGGCTAGGGGCAATCCAGACCAGCATAGAGGAGTGCCTCCATTGCCTTATGTCTGGTTCAGAAAGGAAGGAAGAAAGAAAAGTCAGTATCTTGGAACCAGGGTTAGATTTGAATAACCAACACAGCTGCAGGGAGAAACAGCAGCAGGATGCCCCACCCTATGAACACTACACTGTTCTAGGAAAAATCTTTTATTACAAAACTTTTACAAGTAGGCATTGAACTGACTCTTAGCCTGTAGGCTCTGACTACACACAGGAAGTTCACAGGACCCTGAAGGTCAGAACAAAGGTCTCAGTTTGAGTGGACCTTACCCTGAGTCACAAACCGAGGCCTGACACCCCAGGAAGAGAGAGCTGGGAGAAATCTTGAGAACTCAGAGCTGGAGAGAACTGCAGGGGCCTAAAAAGGCTTCCTGCAAATGTAGATATCGGGGTGTCGATCCCCCGGCTGACTCAGTGTCAGAGATGCCCCGGGAAAGGGAGCAGCTCCCAGTGCACCCCTAGAGGGCGCCTGGGGACTTGGTGGAGCGCACCTGGCGCAGGAGCAGGACCAACGCCGCCAAGAGCAGGATTGCGAAGAGCAGGAGAAGAGCGACCCAGAAGCTGAAGTGAGTTCCTTTACGTAGTCTTGGAAGGTCAGCGGGAATCATGTTGGTCAAATTTAGCATGTAGCCCAGCGCCCAGCCGACAGCCGTGTCTGCAGCCTAAGAGGGCACATGTCGTCAGCTTCCAAGAGGCCGCACCCCGAGTCCTCTGGCCCCACCCATCACCCACCTTCTTTTGGAAGACCACTCCTCTGTAAGAGTGCTCATCAAAGCGATAGCCGCGACTTAGCAGCTGTTGTATGAACATGGCTCCGGCGCAGTAGTCAGCCAGGCGGGCCTCCTGCCTTGGAACTCGGGCCTGAAGCTAAGAAGAGAGCAAGACATCGACACCGTTAGATTAAGAACCATGAGGGGCTATGGCCTGCGGGGTACAGCGCCCTCCCTACTGCTCAAGCCAAGGGAGGCATATGGCCGGAAATACACAGAAAGACCTAGTCCAAGACGTCCTTCCCAGGCAGACACTCCTCTGGGATAAACCACATGACAGCTGGAAGGCTTTGTGTCCTCCTTCCAACAGCCAGATGGAGCGGACAGCAAGGATGGCCACTAGGAAACAGTATAGTAGCATCCTTGCTTCATAATCAAAGGAACAGAGGGCCAGCCTTGAATGTTGCTCTCTGACTGCTTGGCTCCACTTTTCCAAGACCTTCAAGGGTGCCTAAGACTAGGAGGACCTCTTTCTCCAGGAAACTTGGTGGCCACCTCACACTCCAGCTATCCCAACCTCACTGTTCTTCCTTACCTGAAACTAGTATTCAGCCAGTGGCCAGAATCAGAAATCTGGTAGCATCAACTCCTCCAGGAATACCCCAGGCCCTGCTGAGTCTCTCCTGAGTATCCATTTCCCAGTGGTGAGACATTCTTTGGCCACACTCTGTCCTAGACACCTGCCTTTCTGTTCCCACCTATTTTGAATACCCTGTTGCCATGGAATCTTTGCAATACCTGTCCTACTTGCTCTCCAGACCTTGATTATAAGATCAGCCCCCGAGGAGACCACTAAAGTTCTAGTTCCCCCAGCCCCAAGCTCCCCCACATTAACCTGGCCTCCTGCCCATCCATGGAGAAGATGGAGACAGGCCTCACCTCAGCCCAGGTCTGGTTGCAGACAATCTCCGTGGCTGCCTCCAGCTGCTGCAGGGTTCCCACAGGCAGCTCCATCACCGTCCTTAGGAAGTCCACAGTATAGTAGAAAGCCGAAAAGGCCTGTGGGAGAAAGATTGTGCAGTCAGGCTACCACAAGCCCCCAGATGCCTCCTGCCCCCACATCCATCTACCCAGACTCACAATGAAGCTCCCAGTCACAGGGGGCTGGAAGACCCCATTGAAGGAGCACTGGGAAAAGGGACAGAAGGAGAAGTTGAAGAGCCCAGAGACTAGGTCACGACAGAGAGCAGGGCTGCTGGTCCCCGAAAGGCTGACAATGGCACTGCTGTTGAAGTCATGAGGACGCTGGTCCATAGTGCATGGTGACTGGTAGACGTCCCGAAGCAGCACTTGGGTGGAGTAGCCCTTTGGCCAGCAGGGGTGGAAGTGATGGATCTGGGGAGTTAACCAGAGTACACATAAAATTCCCCACTCTAGTTACTGCCTTCCACCCCACCCCAGAGAAGCAACACAAATCCAACTTGGGCAATGCTAATTTTGTGTTCATGAACAATCGTGGCTAACCATTACCTGCTGCACAAACAGCAAATGCTTTGAGCAGGTATTCAAGGTTCTGTGAGATGATCCTTGGCTCTCTTTACTCTAGACCCCTATTCCTGACCCTTTATCCCATTGAGTTCCTCCTCAGCTGTCTCTAAGCTGAGGCACACCCAGCTGGAGAAGCACTGGTCAGGTGATCTGTTAGTTGAGGCTGAAGGGGGGCATCACCATGGAGGTCTGACCCACTGTGGCCCCCACAGCTATGTGTGCATCCATGTAAAAGGAGGCCTCTCTTACGGTCCTTGAAGTCTGTATGAGCTGCTTCTCTGCCTCTGCTCTGTTGCCTTTAGTCCTTCCTCCCTTCCTCAAGGAGGCACTAGTGTGGAAAGGTACCTGGAGAGCACTGGCCAGCAGCCTCTTCAGAACCTGGTCCCGGCCATAGCAGAGGAAGCTGTGGGTATAGACACGATAGTGCTGGCCATAGAGTCGCAGATGGACCTCACTGTCTGGATCTTCAGATGGCCTGGTCGTCTCAAAGGTGATCTGTGTTGAGGCACCCCCAAGATCCATGGCCCCCAGAGTTCCCTTCCTTGGCCGAATCCACCGGCCAACCCAGCCATACTGTGGAGAGTAGAGATCAGGGTAAGGCAGTGGGCAGGCAAGGCCAGCAGGACCCAGGGCTCTCTGGGCCAGCTTCAGGGCTCACCTTGATGAAGTTCTCCAGCAGGTAGTTGGCAGTCACCCAGCCAAACACTCCTTCATCCTGTCCCGAGAGGATACGAGCACCACGGAAGTCAAAGGGGTACTGTGTGAGCGTCTGTGTCACTGCCTCGAGCACCCTGGCTGTGGCCTCTGGATTGGTCAGGCTGTGGAATGGGGAGGACTCTGATGGAGCTCTGCTGGGCATGCCTGACAACTTGCCCGGGGAGAGGAGCTCTACGCTGATGAAGGGCTGTGAAGGCTCCTGGGCCAAGTCAGGGTATATGTACTCACTTCAATAGACGCATGCCTGCTGTAGCTCCCAGGTAGACTGGTGTGCTGGCATGTCTGTCTTTGGGCACATCACCAAGTGCCTGTTCCAGACATTCAACCAGACTCTGGCCCGCCCCAGAAGGGTCATCTGCATAGCTGGAGATGCCCCCACCTAGAGGGATCAGGATAGGGCCCAGGCTTGGTGGACAGTTTCGAGGTGGCACTTAAGCTGATGGGGCTGCTTAGACATACCCTCCAAGCTTAATCCCAGAGGTAGCCAATTTGGAGACAAAGGGTCCAGGTGCCACCCAGAGTCTCTGAAGCTGCCGTCTGCCTGGTGGGTGTGGGCACAGGTGCCAGGAGAAAGACTCAGGCATTGTCAGCCTTGCCTAACCTTCAAAGGACCTGCCTGGATCCACCCTGAGATCCTCAGAGCCCCACCTACCTCGTCTATAGTGTAGAGACCTGTCTTGGGCCATTAAACCCCAAGGCTTCCACCTGCTTCCACCTGCTCCCTGAGACTTCTATTGTAGAACATAAAGTACCCACAGCCCCTCCCCAGGTCCACAGGACCCACTCTCTCTCTCTCTCTCTCTCTCTCTCTCTCTCTCTCTCTCCCTCTGAACTCCTTCCCCAAGTGAGCCCCACCTAGCAGCAAGCAGAGGGGAATGATGGGGCCTGTAAAGCTAAGACTGAACAAGAACCCCCAAGATCATGCTCACCTTGAACATCACAAGAGCTGTGCTGGCCCACGATGCCTGTGTCATTCTCTTTATCTGCTGGCCACTTGTAGACAAACATAGATGTGTGTGAAGAGCCAGCATCCAGAACGATGCCGTACTGTGGGTGGGAGGGGTAAGTCAGCCTGAGGGATGTAGGGAATCCCTTTAGCATTCCAGTTCTTGGTTCCCACTAGTTAAGGACAAGGTACATGTTGAAGCCCAGAGATGGTCCAGGGCATTCGCAGTGATGTGGCTTGAATGGAAGGAGACTGACCAGGAGTTCCTGGGGAGACTTCACCCTCAACTGCCTGAGGACAGCACTGCCAGGCACCAGATAGTAGACTTCCTGCCAAGGGCGGCTGAGGGGCCAGGGACAGAGGGTCTGGAACTGCCTCGGGGACACAAAGTCCTCAGTTCAGGGGGACCAAACCCAAGGGCTACTCTTCCTCCTTTATCTGCAGAGACCTTAGCCTAAACTGAGGATGTGAAGTAAGAGCCACTGGAAAAGAGTGTGGGTGAGGCTGAGTGTAGGTCTCCAATCTATGCTCCTCACTGAACCGAAAAGCCAGGGAGAGGTTGGTTTTGCAGAGCTAAGGGAGGCATCGAATGGGCCTTTTTTGCAGGGTAGCCTGCTCCAGGGGGCTGGGCTCCAACTGAGGGAGCCTGGCTGGACACCAGCCTGGGGCATGTGCCAGTTCTAGCCTGGGAAAGGGCTGCTCCAGTCCTCCCTCACACCAGGGAACTCCTCCAGAGCCAGGCAGATGCAATGATCCAACTCCCACACCCCACCACCCACCCTGCATGGTTACAGAGCTCTTCCCTGTCCATCCCGGGTCCCCTGGGGCTGGGATGTCCACTCCCCACACAAACTCAGGACAAGATCAGTAAAAGGGTAAAGGTGCCAACTTCTAGCCTGAGAAGGCTGAGAGTTGGTAACGGAGACCCCTTTAGAGCCAGGAAGCTTCCTTCAAGTACCACTGTTGGGACATTGGTCTGAGAGGGATTGGAGGTCCCTAGTGTGAGTTGTATCTTATCTGGAGCTGAATCTAGAACCAAAGCCCTTTTATAACGGGCGTGCTCTGGGTGCTGCCCGGAAATCACGCCGGTCTAAGGGCGGGGATTCTTGCCACAGCCAGCAGAGATGAGAACCGCATGAAGGGAGCGGGGAGACAGCTAGCTCCTCCGCCGCGCTAGCAGCTCCATCGCGAAGCCGCAGCAGAGGAAGTCCCACGAACTTGGCCTCCAGTGCCGTGGAGCTCCGGAAGCGTCGCTGTCAACCCGCGGACTCAGTAAAACCAAGCGCGGAACCTAGGACCCGGCCCGAGGCACAGCGCGGGTTTGTCCCGCGCTGACGCGGGAGCCCAGGGCGTTCCGTCCTACTCCCCGCCACCCTCCCGAGCCCCAGCCCCCAGCCAGCTGCTTCTCAGACCAGCGCTGGCGCGGTGGGCGCATGCACCTTGAGGGAGGGCGGCTCCCGGACGTCTTGGGTTGGGACGCACAGCAGCAGGAGACCGGCGAGACCCACCGCAGCCAGCAGCAGGGGTGGCAACAGTGACAGCAACTTTCCGGCCATGGGAGCGCGCGGGAGAACACAGCAGGGACCTGGGACAGCGGGCAACGGGGAGGCCTGGGTGGCCGGGGCCCCAGAGTTAGGCGCTGGGGCGGGGCTGGAGCCGGCCACGCCCACATCAAGGCTCACCCACCGTGGGACACGCCCAAAGTCCGCCCTGCCCCTCCGAAGGCGCAGGTGACTGGAGCGGTGTGGGTGACTCAACCGCACCACCCCTTCTCTCCCGGGCTCTTGGCTGGATCTCCTCACAGCTATCAACCAAGGTCCTTCTTGTCCATCTAGCAAAGAGAGTGCTCAGCTCTGTCCTGGGCAGTCATGAGAGGATTCCTGGTGTTGGGGATTGGCTGGGCTGGTTCCTAGGTAGCCTAACTTGGAGAATGCTGAGTCCTCAGAGGCAAATTTGTCCCTGGCCTGGGAAAGGCAAGCCAGACCTCTTTGCCTAGAGAATTAGTTTCAATTACTGGGTCTTGGCTGGAGGCTCAGAAGGGCACAGGAGTTCAGTCAGTATCTGCTTGTGGAGCAGGTACCAGCTGCGGTGACGATTCCCAGGGCTCCTGAGCGCCAAGTGGCTCTGAACTGAAAAGGGCAGGGATGGGCTGCCTTCACACAAACCCAAAAGGGAAAATGAGAGCAGATGGGGTCTCAATCTCTGAATTTGGTCTCAGGACCTTGACCATCCCTCTTTGCCTGGGAAAGAGGGACAGAAACCTAAACCGAGGAGGCCGGGGGGGGGGGGGGGGGGGGGGTAAGGGAATCAGTTACACACAGGTGTCATCCTACAGGAAAAGAAAGAGTGTTCCAAAGCAAGCTTGGGTGTTGGTCAGCAAGAAGTTCCTGGACACTGGCTGGGGGCTGGGAAAGCTCTCTGCTGACTCTGACCTAACCCTACCCCTCCCACTGACCCAGTACACAGTGCTTCCTGGCCAGGGGCCATGCCACTTCATGCCCTTACAAGATGGGAATTCCAGCAACACAAAGAATCCCATCCATGGGGCAGCAGGGAGCCATGTGGTGAGACCACCATGGAACAGGGCTGCTGGAGCTAAAGAGCGGCCTTTGCTGCAGGCATCTGGGCAATGCCTTGGCCACTGAACAGACAAGGACAATAGGGCTGGGATTGCTGCCCTGGCTGAGGGTCTGGTGTTTCAGGCCCAGCAAAGGCGTCTTTCTTCCAGCTCGGGACCCCAGAGGGGAGGTGGCTCAATCTCTTCAAAGCCCAGCTTGTGGGGTTCCAGAAGGGAATCTCTGGGTGTGGTCAGCACTGGGCACGAGGCTCCAGTTTCCTGCTAGTTCTCCCATCCTATGTCCCCCCAAGTTCTTTTTTCCACCCCTGAAAGGCCAGAAGAGCCAGAGGCATCAGAGGCCAGGAAAGGAGGGGGCAGCACATAAAAAAGCTATGGTCACGGGGAGCTACCAGACTGCCAGCATCCCTCTTCCAAGCCAAACAGGGCTTCCTGATGGGCAAGTGAGGACCTGAAAGGATGAGCGTGAGATGGGGCAAAGCCTCTGGCCCCTGCCCTGGGGAGACACTCATGGCCAAGTACCCAGATTAGCCTGCCAAGAATGGTGGATGGCCCTGGGTTGGGAATAGCCAGGACAAACTGAAACTGGCCAGAGCTAAAGAAGGGACAATGGTTTCAGGCCCTGGGTGGGGTAGCCCCAGATGTGCTGTGTGTGGTTTGGCTCAGGCTCAAGCAGAGGAATGTGGAGACTTAGAGTCAGAGCCTCCCTCCCCAACCTCTGCTTGGGGCTTCCCATTGGACCCAATGAGACCTTAGCTGCCCCATCTCAGCTTTCTCACTTCCTCCAAAAGCTGAAATACCTTCAGTGGAAAAGATCCTCAGCAAGGCTTCCTTCCTCTTTCTCCCTTTCTTTCTCCTTCCTTCTTTCCTTCCTCCTTCCTTTGTCTTCATCCTGCTCCTTCTTCTTTTAAAATGCACTTTTAGAGAGCTAGAGGGATGGCTCAGGAGTTAATGGCATATACTGCTTTTGCAGAGGATCCAAGTTCAGTTCCCAGCAACCACATTAGGTGGCTTATAGCCTCCTGTAATTCCAGTTCAGGGGATCTGATGTCTTGGCCTTGGGCATCTGCATGCTTGTGCACACACACACACACACACACACACACACACACACACACCACAATTAAAAACAGTAAATAAGTAAATAAATAAATAAAATAAGAATTTCTCCCACTGCCAGTCAGTGGTGGTTCACACATTTAATCCCAGAACTCAGGAGGCAAGGTGAAGCTTTGAGTTTGAAGCCAACATGGTCTACAGAGCAAGTTCAAGGACTGCCAGGGCTACACAGAGAAACCCTGTCTCAAGAAAAGAACAGGGCTGGAAAGGTGGCTCAGAGGTTAAGAGCACTGGCTGCTCTTCCAGAGGTCCTGAGTTCAATTCCCAGCTACCGCATGGTGGCTCACAACCATCTATAATTGGATCTGGTGGACTCTTCTGCCTCCAGGCATACAGGCAGGCAGAACGCTGTATATAAGTAAAGAAATAAATCTTTTTAAAAAAATTTTAAATGTAAAGAACAGAAAAAGAAGAAGATAATTTCCTACTGTCTTTATTTTATTTTGTGATTTTGTGTATAGGTATATTACCAGCACAGAAGTCTGTGCACCATGTGCATGCCAGATGCTCATGAAGGTCAGAAGGGACCAGAGTTATAGACAGTTATCAGCTGCTGTGTGTGTGCTGGGAATGAAATATGGGTCCTCTGGGAGAGCAACCAGGGCTCTTAACCACTGAGACATCTCTCCAGCCCCCTAAAATAAATCCATTTTTTTCTTTTGGTTTTTCAAGACAGGGTTTCTCTGTGGCTTTGGAGGCTGTCCTGGAACTAGCTCTTGTAGACCAGGCTGGTCTCGAACTCACAGAGATCCACCTGCCTCTGCCTCCCGAGTGCTGGGATTAAAGGCATGCGCCACCACTGACCGGCAATAAATCCATTTTTAAAATAACTATTTTTGTTTTATATCTAGGAGTGTTACTCTGGATATATGTGTGGGCACAGAGATCTCCTAGAACTGGAGTTAGAGAATGTTGGGCACTGCCATTTGGGTGCCAGGGAGTCTTGGTCCTCTGCAAGTGCTCTTGACCAGTACCCTCTTCCCCATTAATTTTTTTTTCTTTTGGTGTGGATGTATATGTATATTTATGTGTGGGGAACTCTATGTGTGTAGTGGTATCTTGCCTTGCCAGTGAACTTGTGGTGGTGGCCACACCCTTTGGGCATGGTTTCTGGTGCAGACATCACCAATATATTATAGGGTAGAGGAGGGGCTTGCTGGTGCCCTCTTGGGTTGTGGAGAGCGCTGGAAGGGCAGAGATGGGATTTTCTGGAGCAGGAAGAACATAGTGGTTATTTACTCTTATCTGTGTAAAGGCTTCCCTAATAAATACCTATTTATCATCTATCTTGGGTCTGGTGTGTTCACTGATTAGTCTAGGCTGCTTGGCCAACAACCCACAGGCGGAGTTACCCTCTGCCTCCTCCGTGCTGGGAATACAAGCACAGGCCACCATGCCTAGCTTTGCTGATAATTGTTTTTGTTGTTTTGTTTTATAGGAGCTGGAGATCAGACACAGGCCCTCCTCCTTCTGGTAAGCACTACACAGAATGAACTACCTCCCTAGCCCAAGGACTTCTTTTCTTTTTTTGGTTTTTCGAGACAGGGTTTTCCTGTGGCTTTGGAGGCTGTCCTGGAACTAGCTCTTGTAGGCCAGGCTGGTCTCAAACTCACCGAGATCTGCCTGCCTCTGCCTCCCGAGTGCTGGGATTAAAGGCGTGTGCCACCAATGCCTGGCTGGACTTCTTTTCTTAATGAATTAATTCAGTCATTCAACAAATACTTACCGGGTCCAAGTACAAGCCAAAAATAGGTTCTATGCATACATAGTGAGCCAAGCATGGTCTTGAACTTTAGTGTGTGTGTGGGATATGTCCACCCGTTCTGGAGACAGTAGACTTCACAAAGGCTCGGGGGAGAAGGGGAGGAAGGCTGCCTTGTGAAGTGTGGCCAGTTTGTAACTGGGTAGGTGGGGCCCAGGGTCAGCTGATAAGAGTAACAAAAGTGGGAACTTGTGTGGAAGAACTCTCATATGAGACACCTCCACCCGCAGTGACCATGTGCAGAGTGTCCTCCCCCCATGACAGGAACACACTCTTTGGATCAGATGCTGACCTGGCCCTCGTTTTTCTTCTTTACCATATACCTGTGTGTCTCTAAATAATGCATTGGTTTCCCGGTTTTCAATTTGAAAGACTTGCTTTATTGTTTTTAAGTATGTGTATTGTGTGGGTTCATGTGAGTGGAGGTGTCCTTGGAAGCCAGAAGCATCGGATCCTCCACGAGCTGGAGTCACAGGTAATTGGGAGCTGGGAATTGAATTCAGGTCTTCTGCAAGGGCAGTACATGCTCTTAACTGCTGAGCCCTCTCCCAGCCCCTGGTTTTCAATTTTATATTGCCGTTTGTCTTAGGCTTTCTAATGCTGAAATGAAACATCATGACCAAAAGCAAGTTTGGGAGAAAAGGCTTTTTGGCTTACCCTTCTACACTGGAGTCCATCATTGAAGGAAGTCAGGAAAGGAACTCAAACAGGACAGAAACCTGGAGGCCAGAGCTGATGCAGAGCCTATGGAAGGTGCTGCTTTCTGGCTTGCTCTTTATGGCTTTCTCAGCCTGTTTTCTCATAAAACCCAGGACCACCAGCTTGAGGGGGGGGATATCCCAACCACAATGGGATGGATCCTCCCTCCATCAATTACTAATTAAGAAAATGCCCAGCAGGTTTGCCTGCCTACAGCTAATCTCATGGAGGCATTTCGTCACTAGGGTTCCCTCCTCTCAGACGACTCTGAACATAGAACTAGCCAGAGCAGCATTGCTCTGAAGAGCGCTTCTTTCCCTCTCATTGTACTTTTGAAAGCAAAGCCCTGTCAACACTGAAGGTGTCACTCACATATTCTCAGTGTTGGACCTTTCTGCTGT